GGACGGTCCGGCCGTCTCCCAAACGGTCACCCGAAGAGGATACTATGTGTCCTGGAATGGATCTGACATCAACTACAGGTTGGCTGGTGGGGTGACCTCCAGTCCAGAGAGGGAAGCATGAAGACTAGGGGCGATGCGGATTGGTTTTTCCCTAGGATAGCAAGGACGGAAGGAATCCAGCACCCTTGACCCTTCCTTATACTGAACGTATCTGTTAAATCTCCTAAGCGTTTTTTCTCGACATCGTCAATTATTGAGTTTTATTCACGATCGATGGCAACACAAGTCAAATTCCTAAAACCAGACGTTTCGGCCACAGGGTGCCTTCGTCAGTGGACACTAGTGATTAATTAAATTAAAAACACATAGTATCAAAAACAATCGGTATAAATCGTTCGAAGTCGACACATCGGGCACAGGTTTCGAAATGCATTCTTTGGTTCAACATTAAAAACCTAAATTGAGAACAGCATTCATCACGCTATTGTTCTTGTCGCGTTCTTTTGATATGCTGAAAATTAAATTATATAATGAATGTACCTACAGGTCACAATGTAAATGTCGGAACGTTTAATTCGCTCGCCTTTTCTCAGAGTCTTTCAAAGTTCGCCAATCACCTTTCGTTTAGAAATCGTTTACGTTTTGTTTCCTAGTGCCATCATTGCAGCCGCTTTTGCCCAGGTAAAGAATCCAGGTTTTTCGTTCACTGTATCTTGGAAACAGATGTGAGCTGCTTCCAGAGCTTTTCTCTTTCCAGAGCTTTTCGAAACGTCTGGTTTTAGGAATTTGACTTGTGTTGCCATCGATCGTGAATAAAACTCAATCATGTCTGATCATTTACAATCGTCAATTATATCGTCATCGTCATTAATAAAAATATGAAATCCGGGAGGATAAATTAAATATAGAAATTGTGGCCTACAGAACATTATCAGTTGCGTTCAACATACTCGTAAGCATGATCACACACCTGCAGCTTACATACGAGCCATGTAATAATTATTTTTGATAGACATGCTTAAGTTATGAAATCATCTGAAGTGTTTGTAAAGTTCCACGATACGAATCGGATCTAATATCCTGCTATGCATCATGACCATTTCTGGTCAGGTCATGTCTTTGAACATAGGCCAAATTTTTCAAATGACGTTTAAAGATCAACTTGTGATTCATTCGAAGCGTTTTGATAAGAGGAACACGAGGCTGGTAAAATTAATTTCATGCAAGTTTTAAGCTAAAAACTTGTACGTTCTTGTGGAAAAACAATTGGTTTCCTCATAATACCGATGGTGGCAGTTGTTGTTCATGCTAAGCCGTTGACCTTAATTAAATCTGACAATGTTATTCAGACATAGCGGTAAACGAGCTGATTGTTGTGTTAGGTTAGGCTCTTCCGTTGATTTCAGAGTGGGAAGGATGACAGGAATTAGAGGGCGGGGGGACATGGCTCTGGGCGGGAGTCCTGGGCCTCATGCTCCGCTGGGGCCGAGCCCATCACGTGGGTTGGAGTGCCCTGACACATGGATAGCCCTGGGCGGCGTTTCACGGCCCCGCGCTGCAGCACGCTGCGCTGCGCTGCTGCATTGTTGCGGCGGTTGATATGAATTCGGCTCCACGCTAGCGTTGCGAGCTTCCGAGTCTGTTGATGTTTCCATGGAAATTGGAAACCCAATGCACCGGTGTGCGCAACGCACCCTGTCCAAGCAAAATTTTACCATCGATGACCTCTGGTGACATGACCTCTGGCTCTGACCCGATCTAAAATTGGCTGAAGTATTTTTTCTTCTTTTTGCTACTTTTGACGCTACTTTGAATACCACTGAAATGCCCAAATCTGAGTTATAAGTATGATGCTCAATCCCCATTTCCCCTCCAACAGGGCGTGAGAGTCTAGGCATTTCTGTGGGGCACGAGCTAGCAATGACTATCTCATAATCATTGCGGCAATTAACATCTACTGCCATTCTTTAACACCGGTTTCGCTGCGCTGAGTGGTGGCCGTCCCGTTTGTTGGATTCTACAGCTCGCTGGCGGAAAGCGTTACCGGCCGCCCGTCCACCGCCCGCGGGCCGGACCGAGCGGTCCCGCTGACCCTACCTGACCTGAGCCCGGCGCGATATGGGACGGGCAGACGGGGGTTCGGCTCAGCGGAGGCAGCGCCCACTGGTGCGGGGGACTTTTTTAATAGACCTACTGTACAGTGTATACCAACCTGAGATGTGTCTTCCTGCTCGCTGATCGACGCTGAATCTCATGGGTGGCAGATGAAAAGTTTGATGCTGTTCTTTGTTTTTCGTTGAAGAAAAGTTGAAGGTGTTAATTCTATTCTTTGATGTTCTTGTAAAATGAAGCTTGTAGGCAGGTAGGTTTTTGTTAATTGCAGTTTCCTGGGATGGGCTAGGCCTTAACCCGCGCCCCGCTGGGGGGGGGGCAGAATCTGCCCCCCTCCCGTTTTTCGCCAATACCTTCTAAACGCGTTACGCCAGCGACGTCAAACTTTCAGTACCTTATCATACATCAATTTGACACGTTCCCTGAAAATTTGAGCGAAATCCGTCGGAAAATTTTTGAGAAATTGACGTTTTAGTGACGTCATGTTCGCCATTTTCGCCTCAAAAACGGCAAAATTTCAAACGCCGCTAACTTCTTCATTTTTAAAGGAATCAAGACGTAACAAAAAAGGTTATACGTGATTCTACTTTGTCTATCAAATGGCTATCTCGGTTTTTTGAAAATTTTGGATTTTGGCCAAAATTTTTCCAATAAACTGACTTTTTTGGGAAAATATTTATAAAATCCAAAATTTTGAGTTTATCGAAAAAACCGGAATATATGTCAAAGAAGTGGTCTATGTGCACCTACATACCAATTTTGGGAAGAATCGGTTCAAAAATGTGGGAGTTATTCAAAATTTTATGACGTCACGACACACAAATTTTTTGAAAAATGATTTTTTTTGGAAGTTCTAGACCTCGTACGGAAACAAAAAAAGCACCATTCGATTCGCCGTGAAAAACTGCATCGGATAGACACCTTTTTAGGCCTTAACAACCAACTTCAAAATTTGACCTCACTTGACCTGACCTTGACCTGAACTCGACCTGAAATTCATCCAGAGGTGGTCCATATCACTTATTGAGTGTGCCTATTGAATTCCATGAGTAAAATGACCCATAAAACATGTGTCGCACATGCCCTTTTCTATATTTTGTTTTTGGTGACCTGACCTGACCTGACCTGACCTTGACCTTGACCTTTGAATGACATTGTGTGCAACGAATATTGTCTTGGTAGTCTAAGAACACGTTTTGGGCAATCAGTCTCAGTCCATTCTTCGGCAACTACGGTGCAAGGCCGATACTGTAGAAACTTGCATTTTGTACCCTTGACCTGACCTTGACCTGACCTCTGACCTACTTAAGCAAAAAAAATTGGGCTCTTAAGATCCGCCTTGTTGAGAGCTTTCGATTGCCGTTTTCCCCGTCTTTCTACGACCATCGGTTCGGAAGTTAGACAGGGGGGGGGGCAGAATCTGCCCCCCGCCCCCAGCAGGGCGCGTATGGCTGAATAGCCCAGCGGGGCGCGGGTTAACGGGCAGCAACAGAGCATAGCAGCCAATTTCTCAGTGCCCATCACTCTGCCGCAATGCTGTCTCCGTGTATATTTTGAGAACATCCGGTCAATGCCTTTTCTGACCAGTTTATTTTTCTCCTAGTGGTGAATGTCCAATCTACATATAGGTATTTATTGACGCAAGGAATGCCTAGCGTCTTGGTCTGCTGCTGTGACCGTTGATATAACAGTTGAATATATCAACGAATCCACTCTACTGCACTGCGCTACAACGGCTTCATCCAGAACCATCCAGATATAGCATCCGGAAGTGTCCTTCAACTTACAACTTCAACTTCTAGTCTTAATAAAAAACTACCTAACAAATAATTGAAATTTTGGAGTGGTCGCCCTATCTTATAGAAGCATAGGATGCACTAACAAAGCAACATTTTATACACGATGCATGTCATCGCTCTGCTTGTGGAAATTTGACAGCCGTGAGACATAATATGGTGTGGTGCCATTGCCTGTCAAAGGGACCTTTCCACCTTCAAAAAAGTTGATGAATTGGCATAAAAATGATGTCGCTCGGTTCAGAAAGAGCAAAAACGAATATCTACAAAATTTCACCGAAAAATATTCACCTGCTGTCAATGTATTACACTTTAACTTTTGTTTATTTTTTGGGACCTCCGCTATTCCTATAACGTCATTTGGAAGCAATAATTTGGCATCCTAAAAGTGCAGCAGATGTTGCGTGCAAAGCAGTATGTACCACCACAGCAACAATTGTCTTTTAACATCAGATTTAAAAATCGCTAGATCTGCCCTGACGTCACAAAGTCAGAGGGGACATTCAGATGCATTATCCCCTCTGAATCCAAGTGCTGTAACTTTGAGATTCAATATTTTCGATTTAAGGCATTTCTCGATGTTGCGGATGCCGAAACCGGTAATTGTGAGCAAGGGACCCCAGTTCGCCTATCTCAGCTCAGATGGTCACTTAGAGGCATTGCACAACGCACATTGCTACGGTGTGTGGTGTCACGCTAATACAGTTTGCTGCCTTGTGTTGTCTACGTTATTCAGTCGGGCTATCATGCAGTAGGTACCTGTGTCTTCTATCCACAGCCGGGTCATCATGCAGTACCTGTGTCTGTCTGTCCACAGTCGGGATAATGCAATACCTGTGTTTGTGTGTCAAGTGTGTCACTACAGAGTGCACCCGTGTCTGCCTGTCTGTCCACAGCCGTACATCATGCAGTACCTATGTTTGTGTGTCATACAGTGTCCTGTCCGTGTCTTCTATTCACACCCGGGCCACCATGTGTCTGTCTATCCACAGTCGGGCCATCATGCAGTACCTAAGTCTCTGTATCTCTGTATCCACAGTCGGGCCATCATGCAGTACCTATTCCTAAGTCCCTGTATCTCTGTATCCACAGTCGGGCCATCATGCAGTACCTGGTGGCGGTGTACGGCAGGCCGGCGTTCGACCACCTGTACCCGGCGGCCGACCACCAGCGACGCGCCACCATCGACCGTCTGCTGCAGTTCGACCTCGGCACGCTCAACAGGGCCATCCTCGACTACTTTGTGAGTCAAGACAACACAGTGCAGTATGCATCCTATTCCCTGTCGGATGCAAGGGCGCTGAGATGGGGTATCTCTGTTTATTTCAGAGAACTAAATATACCTATGTAATTTGATATTTGTCATTGAATTAGCAGAACGTAAAATCAGTCTCCGTGCATTCATATTCGACTTACGCTACGATTTCGCGACAGCAGTAGTGGCAGTAGAGTAGAGCCGTTTGCCAGCTTCGTTGCCAATTGCTTGCCAGTCCACTTCGCTGCATGTGTTTGCTGCTGCCGTTCAGATTTCAATCCCAAACAGTGGTCGTCTATCCAGGCACATGGGGCTGCTCGTTAGCTCAAAGAAGTTTGTTATCGGGCGTGATTATTGTAATCGGGATAAGTCCGGGACATGTAAAATTGTGACATTTGTGTCTACCACTAACGTCCCAGCTTGCATACTCAGAGATGATAGCTCTATATGTTGTATAGCGAAAGGCTTCATATTCCTCTAAATCTTTCTACTATTATTTTAATTGAAAATTTGTAGCGAATCGTTTCATTTGGTGATATCGAATATCGTCCAACGGTGTCAAAGTTCCTGAAATAAACGAAGGACGTCGACGTACGCTCTGAAAGCGCAACTCCTTCCCTATACAAGTGTCGGCTCATGCTGCCTCCAGCTCTCGTCCATGAGGCAGACGCCGCATTAGACTCACAAAACAGCTCATTTGCAAACCGCGTTCCAAGCAGATTGCTGCATACCAATGGGGCATCTCGCGAGCCCGGGATCGTGCCGTCAGCCACGAGGCACTGATACAGCACCCGAAACGCAGTACATGGCCCCGCTGAAACCTGGCACTCGGTAGTCCGCTGGACCTGACCCCCCCCCCCCTCCCCCAAGACGAGTCGGATAGAAAACTTCAGACGGCCGCACAGAATGACAGAGTTTTCGATGCCACTATATGCACTTGTGTTGGAACTGGAAGGGAAAGTCACGTGGATTTGAAATAGAAATTGATCCCATTGGTCTCCTTTCTGATGAAGCCGAAGGACTTGTTACCCGCAACAGCCGAGGCAACAAACAACATTGGTTTACTGTCTTCAGAGGAAGAATAAAAAGTCCGGGCTGAACCAATACAAAAGTCGCACCCTCGTGAAGCTTCCTAGTTGCTTCCCGCATAATCCCGAAATGGGAACAGAGAAACCAGTGAATATTGTTTTGCTCATACACTTCTGACTATTTATTGTTAGGCGTGAGACAGGTGCACAAACATGGTTTAGCACGGAATTTTACATGGTTTCTTGTGTTCGTCAGTTGCACAGAGATGCTACGTTAAGTAGCTTGTAACCTTTGACTGTAGAAGGTTCAACAATCCCACTTCTTAACGAATCTTTTCAAGACGCCACTTGCAACACCGATACACGCTATCGCAAACAGAGGCCCTCTATGCCGAAAAGGTGGTGTGCCTTTTAGCGTGCTCTGCGTGCAAAAAGTGATCTGATCCGTTAAGGTATAGTCGGACAAAATGCTATACCTATTACTGTATGATAGCGTCAGACGGGTTTGCATTTGAGTCCTGTGGGCTGTCTTGTCAGTGACACTTTGGAATAAAAGTCTGTCGCTGTCGCTGACGCTTCCTGCCTTGTGCTGACGCCTCCATGTCCATCCCTGACGCGCCCCACCTCGCCGCCTCAAGGACCCGGTGCCACTTGTCCCATTGTCCATCCCTGACGCGTCCCACCTCACCACCTCCAGGAGCCGGTGCCATGTCCCATTGTCCATTCCTGACGCGCCCCATCTCTCCACTTCCAGGACCCGGTGCCATGTCTGTCGCTGACGCATCCCGTCTCTCCGCCTCCAGGTCCTGGTGCCATGTCTAGCCCTGACGCGTCCCATCCCTCCGTTTCCAGGACCCGGTGATACACCGCGGCTCGGCGCCGGACGAAGCCAAGGCCAACGTGCTGAAGCAGTCGCTCGACTACCTGGACCGCTTCCTGGAGGAGTCTGGCGGCGAGTTCGTGGTGGGCCACCGGCTGAGCCTGGCCGACCTGGCGCTGCTGGCTACTGTCTCCCGGCTGGAGGCGTTCAACTACCGCACCGAGTCCTACCAGCGCCTGCACACCTGGAAGACGCGGCTGCAGCAGACGCTGCCCTACTACCAGGAGTGCAACGCCGAGGGAATGGCCATGTTCAAGGAGATGCTGGAGCAGAAGAAGCATTAATGCAGGGTACAGGCATAATGGGGAGTTGATAGATTGATGCGGGAAACCAGGGTTGTCAGAGCTGGACTGTTGGTGCCATTACGGGCGATGGATTTTGATGTCGAGCGAAACGTTAATGAAATTCTGCAGGCTGCTACAGAATTATGAAAGCATGCAGGAAATCCGTTTTTGTTTGTTTTAGTGGTAAGCGATCGCGATGGCAGATCCTGTCAAAACTGATTGCTCGGGTACATTGAATGAATGGTTAAATTGCGATATTTCTATTGCACACAGTGAACTCTGAACTCTGGCTGTACCTAGTTCCTGGACAGATCCAGGTACAGCGAATGGAGTTCATTTAGTATTTTAATGTCAGCTTAAAACTATACTAAAGTGTAAGTATTTGTGATTAAATGTGGTAAAATGTAAGTTGCTGCCGATATAATATGAAACCTTGCTAACATACATCAGCACCCATGACGCTTTTCCAGTGGTGAAACTTTGCATCGTAACTCCAGAAAGTACTTTTGATAAAGTAGGCATCTATGCCAGCTGCAAGACGCGAGGCTTAGATAGCTGATGAAAATGTGAGTGCACTGCGCATTCCTTTTGCAACCAATGGAGCTGTGATAAACACGTTCGGGTATAAAGATAGGTGGTACGTTCGCATCCAGCAGTCTGGACCTGGATTGTTTTCGCTTAGTTGTTTTCTAGGATCGTTTTTTGTAGTAAGGCGCCTTCCAGCAGTCGTGTCAAAACTGGCAATCTTGGTCTGAGAGTGCGTGCATTTAGCCGATAAAAGAAACGAAATTTTGTGTTGATATTTGACCGAAAATTATCTCGGGAACATAACGGTGAGAGAAACACTGCTGTTCTCAGCAGCGAGCAGAGCGCATGATGTAGTAATATCAAAACAAGCGATACATGGTGACATGTTATTATGTAACCATGTCTTCTGTTTCTGTTACTATCGCATCACAACTTCCATCTTTGTGAAACGGCAACTAACTGGCCTGCACGTTGTTACCTGAAAGCTTGTGCTTATTGCTGTTCACTGGTGTGTTAGGTTTTTATCTCGCCGCTATGTAGCTACCTTTTTAGAAACAAAACTAAGCTCCTTGTGATCGAATGTTTTCTTATCGAATTCCGTTAAGGATGATTGTATTTTAACAGTCGCTTATTCCACGAATAAGTTCTATCTACGAGGAGTGTTGAACAAATGAACAGGGTATGAAGTAAGTTAAGAGTTTCTGAAAATGTCGATTGATGCTGTTAATTAGATATCTCAGATGTGCCCCTCAGTCGTTGGAGGTGGTGAGTTCATTGAGTGTTTAGGATTTCGTTGTTTTATAAGAATGCATGCATCCAAAAGTTAACAGAAATGCATCCCATGTAGATTTATGTATGACCAGCCATATTCTTGTTGGGACAATTGTAACATGCTAGCCTCTGACTGATACAAGACACTCTGAACCGGTACATACCCACTCTAGATTGATAAGACGTTGAAAAAAGTCGCACGTTCTGTTTACCGAAATGATTGGTGAATCGTTGAACTGTTGTGTTTGATTTGTCAGCCACATGTTCTCTCTGATGTTTCGTATCAACTACCTGCCCACACTGATAACATTTACGAGCTGCTAATACGACTATGTTAACTTATGCGTCATGCTTTTTAATAAATAGCAGATTATTCTATCATTGTCAGTCTTGATGGACCATCATTGTCATGTCAGACGTTAAAACTGGTCAATCAGTCGTGCATTTATCGGGTTGAACGGGAAGGCTTTCGACACAACGTAATACATCACACATTTAGCTAATTTTATTTTCACAAAACGCGAAGCGAAGCTGAACATTCTACGCAATTATGTGGAAAGAACACACGCACACATACGCACAAACAAGTACAAGCGTAACTCTAATACACCCGGCGCAGAATGGAAGAACGTCCATACGACCGCATCACTGCGCCTGTTTCCGCCTCCATCTGGTGCGACTTACCGATGCTTTTAATGCGATTATTCAAATTTCTGTGGGCTGCTAGCTGCCACATAACAAGCGAATACATTAGGCAAAGTTCCGGGTGCACTTTGTGTTTTTTATGTCTAAAATCGCTTTAAACGACTAGCGAATTAAGTTTGGCACAAGCATACCGTATCATGACTGCAGCAAACCGCAATGACGGACAACGCTAATAATGGTGAATCTTATCAAATAAAACCACTCCCACAAAGCTCGGGCTTGCAATAGCTAATGAAATGGTAAAAACATATTCAAGGAGTCTAAAAGCGTTATAAATTATCACAAATGTAAACAAAAGACCACACCGTTCTAAACGGAGCGTTTCACTGCAAAGCAAACTGACGCGCACGGAGAGCCATATCACGTGTTACGTATTCATGGAATGCGGCCTGTCGACCCCACCCAGAAAAGAAACCAACCTTGACAAGCGCTGGCAGTGATCATACACACGCCCTGCCGAACAAAACGCGGGTGGCCGCCGGGCCCTCCGGCCTGGCCTAACTCTCGGTCCGGCTCACCCACGGCCACGCGCAGTGGCAGCAAACACACAGCGCCAGCCAAACAGAAGATCCTCAAGCAGACGTCCGAGTGTGCGCTGCGTCCCGAGTTATTGCCATCGGGACGATCGCTGACTTCCTCCGACCCGTTCGCACCGTTCTATGACCACGGGGCCCGCGAAGGACCGCAAAATCACAAAGACTGAACAGGAAGAGGGAAAGAAAAGAGAACGGAACGAGAAAAGAGGAGGTTAAAAGGGAGGCGAAGGGGGAGAAAGATGCAGTTGACGTGCAGACAAAGAGTAAGGGAAAGGAGAATCATGATGGAAAGGTCAGAACAAACCGTATCTTGAGATTACAACAGTCTTGAGATTACAAGAAAGGAAAACTGAAACATGTCACGCACCTGCGTTGGGACTTCTGCACGGTGCGTATCATGGGCTACTTCCTGACGCAATGTTTTCCATATGACGTCACATCACTAATACCACGTCACCAGTCACCTATCGCCCGCCTGACTGCGCTCACTCGGAGGGCGTCATCTCCCGGCCAGCAGACAGAGCCAGGGCCACCGTCTACAGGTGCGCGTTGGCATCAAACTCGAGCAGCATCTCGGCGTACTGCTCCTCGGTCAGAAGCTCGCTGGTGTCGTCGACGCTGCGCCGCGAGCGCCGCCGGCTGGTGGCCACCTCGACGCAGAGCACGACGAAGCGGTTGTTGCAGGCGTACTTGTCCTGCTGCAGCAGGCGCGCCTTGAGCAGGCTGCTGGCCATACCCTCTTTGCTGGACGAGGACGAGTGCCAGGCGTCGCAGTAGGCGTCCATGTTGCGCTCGCCGTACTGCGTGGCGCCGTGCCACACGATCTTCTGCGGCCTGTGTGCGTGGAGGCGGGGGGGGGGGGGGGGGCGGTCAGAGCGCTCTGGCGCCGTGCAACACGATCTTCTGCGGCCTGTGCGCGTACGAATGAGGGGGAGGGGTCAGGGCACCGGCACCGAATAGACGCTAGCGAAGGGCTATTATTTGATCAAAGAAGAATTCGTGAAGGCAATCAACGGGCACCGTGAAATGTCGAGCAGTGCGTTCAGAGAACAGGTCTGAGTAATGAGTCGTAACATGTTAAATTGATAAGAGGTGGGGCTGGTAATGACGTTAACACGAATTATTGCACGAAAGGTGATGACAATGTGCAAATATTTCTCCTGAATTCCTGAAAATGTCAGATACGAGGGGACAGCGGCAGTTTACCAGGTATTGTCGCGTAGAACGTTCTTTCCGTCGAAGCTGAAGATGTTCGGCTTGTTGTGTGCGAACATGCCGCCGTCACCGCTGAAAATGCCCTTCCAGCTCGTGAAGAGCAAGTCACCCTGAAATTGAAAAGAGTGGTGAGCATTCTTACAGCATTAGCCTGTGGCATGAACATTCCTCTTTTCTTTCCACCTACCTGTTCCATTGTAGCTAAACGGGCAATCAAAGCATCGAATGTCAATCTCCGATGCTAGCATATTTAACATCCCTCCTTTCAACCTTCGCAGGTCTTTTGTGTCCCTTGAACTCCTTTGTGTCCCACCCACTCAATCCGTTCCCACTGAGCATCCCTCACAGCTCCACCCAGTCTTCCCCCGTCCTCACGTTGGTGTTGACCACCGGCAGGGCTCGGTAATCGGGGCCCACGATGCTGTCCAGGTTCTGCGTCCGCGACGAGAGCAGCGCGCGGAACGTGCCGCGGTAGTTGGCCCGCCGCGCCTGCCGGTAGCACTCGTAGTCGAAGCCGCGCAGTCCCATCTTGTCGCCGTGGTAGGGCTCGTTGAGTGCAGCCAGCCGCAACTGACGGAGACAGGCGGTCAGTCATACAGGGAGAGTGGGGCTTAGTCATGATGGGAACGTCTAACCTAGCCAGGCTTACGTGGATGACATGAGAAATGTGCATATGGTGGGTACAAATTATATATAATACTGACAGTCAGCGTTATGCAACAAAAAAGAAAGAAGACAAAACACTCCACTTGAGAGAAAAAAATCCTTCGAGTTCACGGGAACGATTCAGAAAACATTTATATTGAATACCACTAGGCACTAAGGTTGCTCTGCATTACGGTACACTTGTACAGTTCAATCCAACTTACCCTGCTTGGAAAGCCCTGTGAGGGTACAACATATATTAGCGATATAACTGCATTGTTATTTTCACATATCGCAAAATGTAGGATTTCGGCCACCTTTCACGTATGTTTAGTCATACGATTGATGCCATTGGTAAAAAACGCACACATACGACCCGATGCCATACACTCGAAAAATACGTTCAAACGCTAAAAATGAGCTAGATTCAGCGCGGTGACCCTTACAGTCCTCCGAAGCCATCTATCGTCAGTAATAGCCCACAGGACGGCCCACTAGCGCCGCCGACTAGCGGCGGTCGCTGCGGAACTCACGCTGGGCCCGTCGCTGGCCACCTGGTTGTCCGACTGGAAGTTGTGGTTGTAGGCCGGCGACTGGGTGGTGGTGGTGGGCGCCTCCGTCGGCTGGAACGCCACCACAGAGCCCAGCTGCAGACACGGCGACACCGTCAGAGGTGGCAGCACCGGCATACAGCGACCGGGTACCGGGACATACAGGCATACCGACTTAAAAAAGCGCAGGAGTGCTAGTGCTAGTGCCACTAGTGTTACATTGAGAGTCAGCCTTCGGTCTCTACAGCAAACTGTACGTCGTCGAGACATTTATTTCAACCAAGACGCGGTCCTCGTAGGCTATTGTCATTGTAAATTTCCTTGGAAATCAAGTATGCTTGAATGAGCTTTCCCCAACGCTGACAGCACTTACCGAGACGTACTGCCACCCGGAGGAGACGCGCACCAGCAGGGCTTCCTCGTCCATGATGAACGCCAGAGTGCCCACCGGACTGACCTCCGACCTCTGCAGGTCAAATGTCATGACCGCTTTAGTGGGTCACATAAACCGGCAGCGTCTGGTCACAGGGCAAGAGCCCGTCAGTAGGTCACATGGTTAAAGTCACGCCAGTAGGTCACAGTTCATAACCACGTCAGATCAAATGATTTGAATACATTAGAAGGTTATAGGTAACAGCTGCGTCAGTAGATTATAAAAGATTATGTACCAATGTCAAAGACGCAAAGGTCAACATTTATGACCTTTTCACAAATCACTACAGGAAGACACACAACTGAGTGACTGAACAAACAGCTTGCAAGGGTGCTATCGTCACGTTTTAGCATTGCTTTCACATCTATCAGCGGAAACATAGACCATGTCAAGCGTTGCGATGATGCACAATGCACTCCCAGGGGGTATCGAGGCATCCCTTATGCCTCGGCGGCTCGGTCTCTTACCCTCAGCATGGCTGCTGTGTCGGGGAACGTCACTGCCCCGGGCACAATCTGGGGCCCCGACGGCGAAGAAGAATACTGCTCCCGTCCGCCGATGCTGTCGACAGGAGCCGGCTTGCCTGGCGGCCCCGGCGGGCCGGGCGGACCTGCAAAGGTCGCCACCAGATGTCACCACCAGCAGCAGCAGCAGCAGTAGCTATGGATGGATCAGCAGAAGTTTAAGACACTGGCATTGCAGATAGTCATAGGTAACGACGGGCTCCTCCCGGAACTGCTAATCCGCTCCGGTCAGTTGGCACATAGCTCATCACAGCTTCGAAATTCGATATACCAGCCAAACGACATAACGGCCCCGTCTTGAATACTTGTTCGAGTTATACCGTGTGCATGCAACAACATTTGATAGTTGACAGTTCGTTGGGTGAGGTTCGTTGTTTATACAACTTTTAGACGTTGTTTCCTATGCTTTCATACGTTACCTCTTCTCCGGCCGCCTGAACGAACAGACATTGTCAGAAGCCATCAAAATGCAGCTGCTATTCGAGACCTTTCTCATCAACAAGTAGCAAATACCGAGCACCGAAAAGGCTCAAACCCGCCTGCTTCTGCACCTACGAATCAGCACTCAAACACTGGACCTACGAATAAGCACTTAAACAACTGGGGTCTGATTGACAGGCATACTTTCCCACATCATTTCCATTAATTATGTGGGAACGGATATTCATGTAATGATGTGAAACGTAACGAGGACAAAATTGACGTCATAGAAGCTTAAAAAGAAATAAAAGGTTAGTCAGCATTAAGTACATCCACACCGCCAAATAAAACAGACGATTTGGTAATTTCGACTATAAGACTACATTTCACGACATCACGCCATGATAATAACATTTAGGATGTCTCGAGGACAAATATGACGACATGCAGATCGACAAGATTCTCAGCGACTGTGAGAACGGCACTGCCACCCTCCCGCCCGGACAGGTAGCGCAGCTGGGCGAGGTCAGCTCTCCAGGTCAGTTCTCCAGCACGGACACAGGGTGAGGGTCCAGGGAGCTACCACACCCCGTCCCGGGCAGACACCGGTCGTTAGGTCAGTTATCCAGCACGGTGAGGGTCCAGGGAACTACCACACACCCCTCCCCTGGCAGACACGGGCGGCACCTACCCCTTCCGAGCGTGTTGCGCAGCTCGGTGATGGAGCTGACTGGCCTGCGTCGGTATCCTTGTGAGCGTGTAATAACACCGCAATATGAGACAGCGTAACGGAGTAATTCTTATAAACACATTAAACGCTGCACACACCACATTTGCGCAAGAAAGCACATGTGCAATGCGCATTTGCATGGGCAACGCGCAGATGCGAGACACCGCTCAAATACACTTCAAACGTTCATTAGCATGTTTTTATAAATGCCCCCAATAGTGAAGGAATCCCGCCTTTCGATACGGATCCGAAGACGAATTTTATCTGCATCATGCAATTGTTACAGATAGCTCCGAATGACCCTTAGCTTAGAGTGTGCTTAGTGAAGGCGGACTCACTATCATCCTGTCATTAAATGCCCTTTAAATCATGCAGTCTGTGTGATTATAAGTTACATTATGTGTTTTAAGCATTTTTTTTTAACACGACTTGTTATGTTTTGTTACTGATACGACACATAGGTACCATACAAAACTGCTAGTTCTTTTGTTTCATTTTTGAGTTTCAATGCAGATACTCGACTATTATCGATCTGTTAGTTCCATTTTGCATTGTTACTCGCAGCAGTTATTGCCCATACTACAGCCGCTATATCCACAGCGCGGTTGTAATGTGCCAGCAGACTGCAGTGCCCAGGGCCCAGCTGAGTTCTCCGTCGCCACCCGTACATACCTGGCACTCCGATACCGGGCCGACCGGGGGGCCCCTGTCGTCCGAAGCCAGGCGGCCCGCTCTCGCCAGCGGGGCCCGGTCGACCTTCAATGGACAGGCCCGGAGACCCCGGCTCACCCTGCGGGAACACGCCGGCGGTTAGTATCGCGTGCCTGTTCGGCGACAATGATGGGTCACCATACGCGGCCGAACGGGTTCATCAGGCTCAACATTGCAGTAGCCAGTAACATCACTAAACGCTGCCGAACGGACTCGGTCGGCCTAACACTGCAGCAGTGGCGCAGTCTGGCCGTTCAGCCTGCATGCCCACCACCGTACCTTGGGCCCGGGAGGACCGGCGGGTCCCGGCAGGGGGATCACCCGCGTTCCACCGCCACCGCCGCCGCCATCCAGACAGCCGCAGTCCTGAGACAGATATCGGGTGACAATCAGTCGCAGGTGTCATGACTGGCCAGTTCAGCAGCCCCGACCAAGACGTTCCAGCATACCACAGCTCCATAAATTGCTCCAAGCTTCTCTTAACCAGCGAAATGCACACGAAATGGACATAGGCGCTATCGTCGTCGTACTTACGCCCGGCTCTCCCTTGGGCCCCGGCAGACCAACGCCCTTCTCTCCTCGGCGACCCTGGAACGAACAGAAACTCGTCAGACAAATATCGCACACAAGAAGCACGTTTCTAAGCGACTGCATTCATAGACAGAGGTAGATGTGCCTGGTCTGCACTAAGCGCACGAATACATAAATTAATTGTTTGTCATGATACAGTGCTATGTACTGAGACTTCTCGTCGTTTAAGGGTTATCAAGTAATTGTTCGCATACTTACCTTTTTGCGTCTTGACTGCGTGCGTGTGTATGGGAGAGAGCTTTGTGATAAATATCATGAGAAACATACAAGAAAATACCGTTACAAAGTCAACATACCGAGTTAAAATTGCAGGGGCTATATAAATCACAGATCTAATGAGAGCGGATAATTAATTTTCCTCTCTAGATATTTTACTGGCTTATATACAAATCCGTCAGACTGAAGTGAGCGCCACAATGCGCAGTCGGTGGCCGGGGTCAGCCCCGAGGCGGTATAACTACGTACCGGCCATCCGGGCATGCCGAGCTCTCCGATGGGACCGGGTCGGCCGGGCCGGCCGGGCCTGCCACGGTCTCCCTTCTCACCCTGACAGAGAGGGAAGAGCACATGGTCATCTCACAGAACTCAGCCCGCTCACGGCGGGGAGAGCACACAGTTACCTCACAGATCTCAGTAAACGCACTCACAGTGGTGAGATCACAGTTACTTAACGGTGAGCCACCATCAACCCACAGTGATTGTGACTCAGCCCACAGAGCATAATTATCTCACAGAGCTCAGCCAACTCATAGGGGTGAGGGTATACGGTCATCTCACAGATCAACTCATCACATTACATCACATCATGATCACAGATCACACATCAGACAACTCACAGTAATATCCCTCGTCGCTCGACATACCAAAGAGAACACACACCCCCTTGCCTTACAAAAGTATACATTACCAATATGGTAACATCACAACCAGTTTCTCCAGTGTGCGTGGTAAACAGCTGACACCTGTTTGTAAACTTCATTATTGAAAAAGTCTGGTTATCTCAAGGAACATAGCGTTTCGAGCGCACTTAGACTCACAGTGCACCACACTTTCAATGCAACAACTAGACACAGTCGCCCCCGTCCCCCGAACCTGCCCCCCCCCCGTGTCGCCTTACCTTGATGCCCGCGCCGCCCTCCCCGGAGCCGGGAGGACCGGGCGGTCCCTGTGGTCCCGGCGGACCCTCCGGTCCGGGCAGACCCGGCGTGCCGTCGATACCGGCCGGACCAGGCAGACCCTGACCGGGCGGACCGGGCGGTCCGGGCGGACCCTGCGGTCCGGCTGGTCCCGGCGCGCCCGGTGGACCCACACTGGCCAGGCCTGAGACGATAGAGGGCAGAGTCAGGAGCAGTGACACGCTGTATGACACCGACACTGGTCACCTCTGTGCGGCACACACAGAAGGGGACAGGACATGATCAGTTACACGCTGTATTGGACAGGTCAGGAGCAGTTACACTGTACCGGGGCCGACACTGGCCGCAGTCCTCAGACAACAGAGGGCAGTTCAGGAGCGATCACACACTGCAAGTATGGGACCGACACTGGACAGCCCTGAGACGGTGCAGGGGGCCGGTCAAGAGCAGTTACACGCTGTATGGGACAGGTCAGGAGCGGCTACACGCTGTTCTGTGCTGACCTCTGATGTCATCTGGCATACAAGGCATATTACGAGAAGATCAAAGACATTCTATTTCAACCGGAAGCGGAATTCGCATTGAGCAACCGGATGCTGTCGGAAGCTTATAAAACTTGGTGCAATACAAGAATTATAAAATCCTATCTACTGACTGATGATGTAAAGGTCACCAATACTGATATTTCATTGTTTGTCACATCCTGCATCGCCACTCACCTGGCAGTGGCCGGTGGCCGGAGCCGGAGCCACTGACATCGTCCTCATCCCCCCAGCCCCACTCGGCCGCGTGGGGCACGGCCGGGCCCGGCGGGCCGGGCGGGCCGGCGGGACCTGCAGTGAGACCTCAGTCGGTCAGAGGGTTACAGAAGTGACCGCTTGTCAGACTGATAACGGATGGGTACTCGTGGTCGAAATTGATGTTCGTATGCACCTGGAAGCATCTCAGGGAGGTCTTATTTGGGAAAGAGCGATTTCTATTATGAAAATTATGTTCTTTGAATAAATGTGTACAACATTCAATGAAACTAAAGAAATGCGAAAAACAGGTCCCTGGGACTTTGAAAGTCATTTCAGAACCGGTGGCGCACCATTTGTTCCTTTCAGTCGTCCCGCGCAGGCCGCGCTGGGTCGTGTGTCTCTCTCACCTCTTTCGCCCTGTGACCCGCTGGGGCCGGGCTCCCCCGGCCGGCCGTCGCGACCCGGTTCACCAGGCTCGCCTTTGAAGCCAGGAGGGCCCTGACTGCCGTCGTGGCCCTGAGAGATTATAGGTAGAAGAGGGGAGATAAAATAAGTCAGCAATGGACGATCTTCAGCCAAAGAAATCACATCTCGCATACGCACACTACTTCAAATCGCCATCGTTATACAACGATCTATATTTGATAAATTACGATAAATCAATCCACTCGGTCACTCCAGCTGATAACTGGAGATTCACTGGAGATCAGTCCCACCACTCTATCCCTTTACATGTCACTCACCCTGTCTCCCCCATGTCACTCTCCCGGTCTCCCCTGCCACTCACCCTATCTCCCCCTCCCCCGCCACTCACCCTACCTTCCCAGCCATTCCCCTGTCTCCCCCGCCATTCACCCTATATCCCCCCGCCACTTACCCTGTCTCCCTTTTCCCCGGTGGCTCCGGTGGCTCCGCGGTCTCCTTTGACTCCCGGAAGGCCCATCAGGCCCGGCGCCCCCGGCATGCCGTCCAGGCCAGCCGGACCTGCAGGGTCACAGCGCAGGTCAACTCAGTGTCTAAGCAAGAATAGAGCCAAAGATCCTGCGCAGTGCATGAAGAGGTGGGATTCAACAGATATAACCCACGAGCCGCTGGGGGGGGGGGGGGGGCATAAAGTTGCCCCCTTTCCGTTTTGTGAAATATCTCCGAAACCTGATGAGCTACGAACGTGAAACTTGGCATAGCTTCAAATGAATACCTAGGCAATGTTTGAGGAAAGTTTGGTGGTTGTAGTACCTAAGCTGACGTCACAGTGACGTCATAAAGTTTTGTCGTTTTCCGATATGGACCGTTTCTGATGACGCTGAGCATGAAACTCAACTGTAAATGAACTAGACAGCACCTGCTGTCATCCTAAAACATCTAACTACACTTCCATCTAGTTTCTGGCCAATAATCGACCCTTTATATTCGGTCCCATATACATATCTGATGTATCGTGAGGAATATGAGAGTCGCAAATCTAGAATTTCACTTATGACGTCACTGTGACGTCATTTCAAATGGGATCGACACCAAATTTGGACACAACCTCGGCTAGGTATTCAGGAAGATGTGTTTCGTTTCTCTATCTCTTCGCGTTGCGACGATATCGTCGCAGAAGTAAAGGGGGCCCCCATCCCCCCCCCCAGCGGCCGGCGGGTGGCGCGGAGGCCCAGCGGCCGCCGGGTTAATTTAATAGCTGAAAGACGTAGCGGGTGTGAACACAATGATCGATTTGTTTGGCAATGAAAAAATCGAGACATCCGTGCTACCCGATGAAAAGAAACTGTCAGCCAGTACCTAACAAACAGTCTTCAGGGAGACGTCAGGGTCAGGGAGCAGGCTACATTTATATTGTACATTTATATGTAGGTATATGGTACCTCCGAAGTTTCGAAGCTATCAGCGGAACATCAGCAATAAAGCGAATAACGCAGCAATCGTCCGACTTTCATAAGCATAGACCAAAGACCGTTATCGAGGGTTATGTGTTCAGGGTTAATCTCTACACGGCCAAATCGTTTGTCAAGTGTGCAGCGTCCAGTCTTCGTTGTTCGTTCCAGTGCTGGGGCACAGTGGCCAATGCTGCTCACCGGGGGGTCCTGGGGCTCCGATCCTGCCAAAGCCGGCTCCACTGCCGCTGCCGCCGTAACCAAACATCTCCTCGTCATCCGCCTGTAAATACAGAGACAGACGCGTCACCAAAGGGGCAACACAGGACAGCAATCAGTGTGTCACACCGGCAACCCAAATCATCAAATGCTAGAGCCTCAGCTGTGGGGAATGTGCAGCGTGCATCCCACAAAAGATAAATGGTGCTATGACACTGTGATATCGTGGTAACGCCAGACCCACTTGAAGAGGATTGGATATTCGTAAACAATCTTGAGCCTTGAACAATTACACTGCTTACCTTAAATATGCTTCTTGATCCCCATGGCCGCTTGAAAATGGGCAAACAATGATTATCTTCAGCCAAACTTATCAGATGCAAGGTCAGAGGACTCACCAATAGCATACGTAACCCTTGGACAAAGTAGCAAAGTAACTTTGGCTGTACTCGTTTACATTCACAGCCCTCGCAGTGAATGTAAACTCAGCCCTCCTTTGTCCCATTATATCAGATCCTGCCAGTTTTACCGACGCAGTACTCACGTCGAAGCCCGCCGTCATGCTGCCGATGCCCAGTCCGGGGGGTCCAGGGGGTCCTGGCAGACCCGGAGACCCCGGTACACCGTCCATACCCGGCTCGCCTGACACAAACGCGGTGCACATCCGTCAGCGGGCAGTCGGGGGCGCTCGCGAGCACAGGACAGTGGGGGGAGGGGGAGGGTACACAGGATAGCCCACGGCACCTCATGTCACCAGACAGGGGAGGAGGTCGCGAACACACGACAGTCGGGGCGCTCGCGAATTCAGCACAGGTGAGGGAGCTCGCGGACACCGATCGACATTCAACAAATAAATCAACAGTAAAACAGCAAGCACTGTGATATCCATCTGGCTCAGCTCAACTCCTTAAGTCCTCTAATCTTCATACATTCGCAAGCCTAGCTGTGTCTCTCGCCGCGTTGGTAGACGCATTTACCTTTGAGCCCCTGAAGACCCTCAGCTCCTCTGGGTCCGGCGTCTCCCCGCTCTCCCTTCAGGCCGATGGGGCCCTCCGGTCCTCTCTCTCCGCGGGGACCGGGCATACCCTGGGGAGGGGATGGACATACGTGACACATACAGCACACTTGCAAGAAAGGCAAAGCGAAATATATCGCATAGTAGAAGAGATAAGATAAGAGCGAATAAAAAGCTTGTAAAGAACAATCGCATGTGTGATGAGACGCGTCAGGTCAGTCTTCACATAGCATGGGAAGTAAATTACACCGAAGAATGGTGCGGTCACCAGAGTACAGCTGAACTCTGTGATCTACCAAAGGGCGCTGTTCCGCCGCCCCGGTATACTGACCGAGGTGCCGGCCATGCCGGGCGCGCCGTCGCGTCCCGGCGGCCCCTCGGGTCCGCGCACTGACTCGTAGGTGGACAGCAGAGCCGCCACCTGGGAGACGTTACAGGAACACTGGCCAGGTGGGCCCGGCGGCCCGGTTAGACCCGAGCGCGCCAGGAAACTCTGCCGGGGCAAACAAACAGGTCAGGGGTCAGAGGTCAGCACAGGCGGCCCAGACAGGGGTCAGAGGTCAATACAGCGGCACACTGTGGACAGGTATAGAAACACGAACGACATCGGAGTGTCGGTTAACATATACAGATTAAGAATAGATCACTATGTATAAACAGTCGCAATAACGTCCTGAGACAGGTGCACGAAGCACTTTGGTGAGGACATCATCAAAGAGTTAACAGCTGATATATTTTGAACAGAAAAATAGCTACATCACCTTTCGCTCAGACTCAAAGCATGCCACGCACACACTGTCCCGTGGGCTGGTAACGTACATTACTGACGAGTGACGATGCCATGTGTGTAACACGCACTTTGATAACAGATAACTGTACTTTTGCATGCAACTTTGGGTCGTTTTAGCAGCATAGTTCACCGGCTTCACGGCCGTCCATGGTTGATCATTCACATAGATAAGTGCTCCTGGAATGGCCTGGTATGTGTGGAATGACCTGGTAGGATTTCACGGAACATTGTGAGAGGAACAGCCGATCGCTCTATGTTTACTGGTGGACTATATATACACAAAGTAGGTCGTTTAGGCAATACTTTGGATGTGCTTGTGCTCCCTGAGCAGCTATATCGTCTAGACAACTCTAAACAGACATACGACAAATGCGTTTTGACACCGACTACCATGAAAATCCGACCTCACTATTTCATGGGCAGCATAAACACAACTAACCTAGAAAAATGCCGCCGGAGCTCGCTGGTAAACTGTACCGTCGTTGAAAACCGTATCCCCATGAGACGGGGTTTCTATAGCACAGCAAGTAAATGACGTATGCAAAGTGCGGATAATGCATGAAGGCATCATTGCGAAGGTACGCAACCAAATTTGGTTATCACTACTGCCAATTCGAAAGATATATTCTCTGTGTCAGAGTGCAGCATTAATTTCCCCAGTTTTTCATTATCACTTTCAGTGTCTCTAAGGTCCGATTTCTAAAAGTTGTTCAATGTTCACACTTCACTTGTAATAGCGCCGTGTCACAAGCGTCATTCTTAGAACCGGATTTTTCAACACGTCCGTCAGGACGCACTATGTGGATCGCTTCCACTATAAATCAAATACTGCACGTACAGTCTAATGGAGGAAATCCAGATAAGATCTGAGGAGAGATATATACCACTTTGGTTGAGAAGGGCAGATGTCTACATTTTTTTCGGGGGCTGTTAAAGCCCGTCTCCACGCCACTGGCCCCGTGGGGCCGTAAAACCATCATAAGGCCCGTCATCCTCCACTTAGCGCACATCCGGCAGAGTTTGGACGCACACGGACCGAGTCTGGACTCACACAGATTGCATTTAAACTCGAACAGACCAAGTTTTGCCGTACACAGGACGATTGGAGTCACCAAAGATCACATGTTGGTCACAAGTAATAAAACAAGCATTATTTCAATATTCTACAAATTTTAGTGCATGACAACCGCCTATACATGCATATTTCTTGCCATGCGATCACATGCATCTTCGAACTGGAATGTACCCTGTGGGCGCCAACAAAGGGTGATAGACTACGCTATTTATGATACTTTCGGAACAAACCAACAACGCCCACCACCGCGAGGTTATTTCAATAAACGTCACACCCCTCCGCCCATCCCCAGGCGTTCTCTCCCAGGAGTGCCCCCGCCACAGGCCCGTGGGGGCGGGTCCGGCGTCACCATGGGCCCCGCTGCAGCAGCTTGGGTGGCCGGGCGGGTGGGTGGCCGCGGGCGGCGATAGACCCCCCGAAAACCAGCGGCCCCTGCGCCCGACCGTGGCGTGTGGATGCCATTCAGACGGGACATTAGACGCGCCCCAGCACAAACCCAGCTCGGCTGGAGAGGAAGGGGAAACGGGGCGGCTGCGCAGTGCCAGCCCTGGAGGACGGGAGGTCCAGGACGGGACGGGGCGAGGAGGCCGTGGAGGGCACAGAAGCACAATAAAACCAGCTACCACGTGGTCATGGTTTACTGTGTGTCAGCTGTACAGGTTGATGAAGTGAGATAGCGATTATGGATAAAAATGAGAAACGAAACACAAAGCGAACCGTCTTCAAATTTGACAGGGGCTCATCAGGTCTTTTAACTTGTCTCATTGAAGCAAGTGTCGTTTAGCAACTGGATAATAATCGCTTAAATGGCCTAATCTTTGACCTGAAAAGACGCACAGAGCCCACACAGTACCTAACCTGTAGCACCTCTCAGTTCTCACCGCTAAACTAATTCTAAATCGCTTACCTCGTCATCGCCGAAGCCGGACCCTTCTCGGCCGGGAGGGCCGGGGGGCCCCGGCGGCCCCCGCGGGCCCTCTGGGCCCCTGGCGCCCACTATCGACTCGCCCGGAGGACCCTGCAACCAATCAGAGACGGGCCACGAAATTACGATATTGCGGTATCACGGGGGTTACGATATGAGAGTCACGATATTACCGTCTCATGACTCGGTATGGTAATGTCATGATTTACTATACCATAATGTCTAATGTCGCGGTATAAAGATGTCATTGTGCCACGATGTCAATGTCATAATTTTACGATAAACGTTATCACGATATTAGGTACGGCGTAACGATATCAGGGTGTCCCATATCACGATATCAGAGTCACATCGTAGGTACCATCACGGTGTTACATATCACGATATTACGTTATCACGGTATCACGGTATAATGTGATAACTGAATGATGCTACCACAAAGTATTGTGGTAGGTACAAAGTAAAGTATCAAGAAAAGCAGCTTTCTTAGTAAAATAGAGAGATACAAGTTTTATCAAGTAAAAAGTAAAGTACAAAGCAAAGTAACACAATATTGTGGTAGGGTAGTGTCATGGTACCTAGTATCGTCAGTCATGACGGTATCATAGTGTCATGATAGAACAGTGCCGCGTTATCACGGTGTGACAGCATCAAGGTATCAAAGCATCATGACCTCGCGGTATAACAATGTTTCGGTATCACGATATCACATGTCATGGTGTCAGCCAATTACGCTGCCATACTATCACGGAACAACGGCGTGACGGTATCACGAACACACGGTAAGCATCACAAAGTGACGGTACACTCTATATCTACAATGCCATGACGGCGGACGAAGCCCAAGCTTAATTTTGACCCCTGGGTTTTCCGCACTCCACTACCCCAGAGCAGGCCGGCTTGGCTCCATTCATCCCACACCCAGCAAAGGCCCCTCCCCCGCTCTGGGTGGTCGCCGACATCCGACCCTGTAGAGCGGGGTGCGCACGTGACTCCGGGACAATGAGTCTCGTGACGTCGGGCCATACGCGGGTAACGACTGCCGTCAGCAGCGGTCCGTGGGAAGGAGAGCAGAGGACGGCGGGGACGCAGCGGCGGGTCTGAATGGGAGGGACGACATATGATACCGTCAGTCATTGGCGCTTTATATACAGCTGTCAATGGACTTACCGGGGGTCCCGGGGGTCCACGCTCGCCCTTCAAACCTGGAAACAGAGACCGGGTCATTGATAGCGGACTGCTGGCACAGTTCGACACTGGGTCAACAATATTGGCATTGCTTGGCAGCAAAAGGTAGAGAGACGTATGAGGTTAGCTCATAACTGTTGGCCTAACTACATATATTGAGGCTAACAAGAGAGCAGATATTTTATGATCAATGAAATGGCATGTGCTACAAAGGGCATCAGCGTTCCCTGCATCGCCTACACTTAAAACTATTTCTACAACAGAAAGGTCTGGTATTATTCCGCAGTGCTCGGGTGTAGAGTAGAAGCTATGGCCTGGTAGGCGGGGCGCAACATTATAGGAATGGACAGTTGGATTACAAAGTAAACTCAGCAACTTCAACAAGAGGCGCTTTTACCATCATATCCTACACTACTATCTATATTGATAGGGTCTGTTAACAGTAGGCATTCACGCTCCATCCAGCTATCCCCCACCCCCAGCCCCCTTGGACCATTTCTTCCCGGAACAGCATAGTCTGCCCCAGAGGCCTCAGAGGCGGCAGAGACCTCAGCCTATCCCGTGGCCAATCCACGCGATGCACAGCCGCGCAGCTACCAGCTACCAGCTTGCACGCGCTGCACAGTCGCAGCTACCAGCTACCAGCTACATACTAGCTACCAGCGCTGCATGCAGCTCCAGCCGCCAGCTCCACCGAGACGGTCACCGCCAGGCATTGGCAGCAACCGGCCGTAAACACCAAATAAGGCCGGTCTAACTGCCATCAAACGGCCGTTTGCGGCGCCGAGTGGCCGTCGGGCCGTGATGGCCAAACCGGGCTGTTCCCCACTGTGCAGACACCCGACAGAGGGACTATGACAGCCACGGTGCAGCACGTTCACTAAATTCACACGTAGCGTGGCGAGTAAATCGTGTGTGCAAGAACGACTGGAGTGCCGTTCTTGATGCTCGGTGGCACCGGAAACCGCATTCATTCGGTCTCGTCCGGTCGGGACCGTACATACATCCAGCCCGGACCATGGCGCTGTACTCCGTTCGTCCAGCCGTATAGACTGTGTGACTTACAACCATAAATCATATCAGTACACGACACCCGATGCGGATTCCGTCAAATATCGGACAAAACTGGCGATAGGTTCGGCAACTTTCTGCTCAGCTACATCACTAATGCGTTTGCGAATTGCCATTCCGATCCACTGCGGCGCGACCTTCCTGACGCTAGAGAGGCACTACAAGGCATGTCGGTTTTTGATGTTCGCCCCAGCACCGGATCTTCGAACGATGTATGTGCATCGTTAAGGGAAATAATTAAAGCGATTAGCGATGTCACGCTGAAAAGCACAGAGATGTCCGCAAAACGTCGAGCTTGTCTTATCATGACAGTTAACATACCCAGACAAAGAACTGTCCGCTGTCGTCCATGAGCGCATGAACATTGGACAGTCTACATTGGCCAAATACCTGCATGCCATTAAATAATTTTATCAACGACCGATAAACGTT